ACACTACTAAGAGTGCGATCAGAATCAGGCCTTTTGTGTTAAGCAATTTGGGCAAGTTAAACAAAGAAGGATCATAAGCCTTTCTGTGAAGTGCCCAACAGAGGTTCTTTTGGCTGACAGGCTGACTGTACATTGAGTAGGGCTTTAAAAAAAAAAAAAAAAAAAAGAAAGCTGAACAAAAACCCTTTGCCTCTCTTTTCCTCCACTCCATCTTTGATTCCAACCTGCTGCTTCTTGTGCCATCTCAGTCACGTCTTCTGGCTGCAATCCTATCTTTCTCACACTAGCAAGACCCTGGGGATGTACGTGTTACAAACATCCACTTGTATAACAGCATAGCAACCTCTCTGAACTTGTTTTAAAGATGCTTTATCAATGAGTGTAGAATGTTCGGCAGCTTGGACACGTGACAGTGTTGAGCATTTTAGACATGTCTCTAAGTCTGTAGAAAAGGTGACAAACTGAAAAAAGGGACAAATTTAAATTCAACTTGTAGTCATTCATATCACCCTTGAACTACAGAAACAAAGTACACCATGAAGACCTTTATGCAATTGCCATTTGTAACCGAGCCATGGTCAAACCACCCTCAGCGGGTGCTCAGATACCATGTGGCTGGTTGTCTTATTATAATCCAGATAAATTAGCATAGTATCCTTAAATCATGCAATGCAGGGGAAGGCACAACAGCATGGGTTAATTCTAGGCCTTTATATTGTCAAGAATTGTGTAAGATATCAACCAGGTCCTTTTAAAGTCAATGGGCTTCACCCTTGTAGAACTGGAAATGGTACCCCAGAGGCTCAGCCTTAACCTTAAATTGCCACTTGAATAAAAAGATATGTAATACCACTACTCCCAACTCCTGTCCCTGAAGCATTCCACTGGATACTACTTAGTTGTTTATTGCCTTGTTTATGGTCTTTTGGACAGTTTTTGATTCTGATTCAAAAACAATTTGAACTAGTTTCAAATAAAGCTTCATGAGACACTATCAAACACGTTAGTAAAGTCTAGCTATATTAGATCAATTGCATTCTCCATCAAATTTGTAATACCATGAACAAATTTAAAAAGCAGTCGCATTTGCTTAGCCTGCTAATGGGTTGTTTAGCTGATCCAGTGAGACCACAAGGAGTTATACAAATGTATGTTAAAGGTTAAATTGTGTTTAATTTCAGATATAAGACAGGAGCCTGAAAAGCATATTGCAAACTTTTCACTGAATGACGTGTCCACATAGGACCAGATTTTCAGAGAGGCTCAAGATGTTGGGTACTGAGTGCTTTTGAAACTCTGATTGTGGGTGATGAGCACTCAAAAAAATCTGGTCATAAAGTAGAGCTGGACAACAAGATTTGTTCATTTGCTTGCCATTTCAAAAAGCCACCCACACCGTTTCCTTTTGATTTTGAACATTTTTAAACTATTTGAGTGTTAATAAAATTAAAAAAGAAATTTTGAACCAAAATTTAAATCAATTTTTTGGATTTTTTTTTAAATCTAGAACAATTTGGTGAAGTCAACATTAATTCATAAAATAATTTGGTGTCACGGACTGCATCTTTTGCTGAAAATTCCACCCAGCTCTAGTAATGATTTTCTTGAAAATCTGGCCCTTGCTACACAAGATGTTTTCACTGATGCTTTAATTTCTCTCACTGAACCTGAACCTGAGTTTGTTTTTCAAGAGAGATTGAAGGGGAAAGCTACTCCCAAAAAAGGCTGCACTTACCCAGCCTTTTAAAATGAAAAATAGATCTTTGAAGACTAGTGGTTTACAATGTACCCTCATTGCTCACATTTCAATTGCTTTTCTTGGCACAACCTATGTATACACAGGGACCTCCATTCCCTAGTTGGATGGACTCCAGCATTTTAAATCTGTGATAAACATGAAGTTTTTACGAGTTTAACTGGATCTCTGGTGGCATGAGCTCTGAAACCCTGTTAATAAAGCCTTCAGCACACACTTGTGTTCCTGCGCTAGGCATGGTACGCACACAGACTTCTTCTGCAATACATATTCTTTTTATGTTCTAAAGGCTCAAAAACGTTAGACATGACAGTGGTAAAAAACAGAGCTCATTCCTACTAAAGGCAGTGAGTGTCTGGGCTTGCTGAGCCAATTTTGAAAGTAAAAAAATTGCTTGAGCCCCAGCACCTCTTTCAGAACAAATTAAGCACTGACTAAAGGCCAGGTTGCTGCATGTTTTTCACAGAATATGTTGGACTCTGATAACAAGTGTGACATTTTGTGAGCTCAGTTTGATTTCCTCCCTCTTTATTAATGGTTCAGTTGAGTCTTGACCCTACACAGCTGTGCGGGTGAGTAAGGAGTCCACACACTTCTGTGTATCCATGTAGGACTTCCTTGGATTGTGGCTCTGGGCACAGGGAGGAGAGCAGGAGTTAAGCACCTGATACACCTCCCCTGAGCAAGAAGGTGGGAACGGGAGAGCCAAGACTCCATCTTCCCCAATGCGCTAGCCAGCAGACCTGGCTGACTGCAGTAGAAATAAGCTGGCAGTGCAGTAGGAATATGCTACACCTTGGAAAAGAGTGTAGTAGTAAGTTACCCTCACCACCACTAAAGCAAAGCGGTGAAAGGGAAGGAATTGTTACTCTGTGGCACAACTCCTTCTCAGCTGCACTGCCCTGGCAGGGCCACTATGTGCCACCCCTTACTTAGGATTGAGCCAAATGTATGGGATTGCCCCTAGCATGTATGTTCCCATCAGCTGCTGTGGGATTCATATGGATAAACCTCATTAATGCTAATAGATAGAGCTAGCCAAAGAATGACAATTGAGTTTTGGCACAACTTTCTGAGGTTTTGAAGTTTGTTTTATTTTCATGAGAAATGAAAAATCTTTTTTTTTTCTGGTTAAAAGGCATTGTGTTGAAAAGGTGTCTCTGGTGAAGTCACCAGAGACTTCACTGTGGACCTCAGAAACCTTCCCAAGAAAAGCTTACTCAAAATGGATGCATCTTCATAAACCATTTCAGCTTTGAAGAAACAATTATTCAACAACAACAAAAACTTCACTGACAACGTTCTCACCAGCTCTGCTCTTAGGAGTGTAATGGGGCAGGCTCCCTCACCATTCTCACATACTGGACAGAGCTTGAGAGGTTTCTGGGGGAAGTGACAACTTTGTGTGATTTATTTACATTCCCATCACCAAATACCAAGACAGCTCTGTGCAGCAATATTTACAGTGCTTTTCTACTGTTAGCCCTTTCCCACAGGGCCAAGGAAGAACACAGATTTCCATTTCTTGAGCTGTCTGAACACACTCCACACAGCTAGCCTGAGTCCGCACTCCTCCCACTTCCTTCCTGTGTCTTGTATATCCCCCGCAGCTGATGGGCTAATTGGTTTATCAGCCCTCCCAGCCTATTCAGCTAATTAGCTTCCATATCCTGAATCAACCTTTTCCTGGGGAGCTGGCTGATGCCTAAGTGATCACAGTGCTGGTTCCATTGCTAGCTTCCAGCACTCTGTCATAAGGAGATACACATGAAAGTATCAAAAACACAGTGAATATTTCTGAAGAGCTATAGTCTCTCACAGCCTCAGAGAAGCAGCAAACCTTAGCTGACTTAGAGTATATCTACACTGCAGCTGGGACCATGCCTCCCAGGCCCAGCCCACATAGACAGACACGCTAGTTCTACTTGAGCTAGCATGCTAAGCATAGCAGTATGGATGTTGGGTACAGGTGGTGGTGTGAGCTAGCCTTTAGAGCAGAGGTGGCCCGCGGGCCACATCCGGCCTGCAGGACCCTCCTGCCCGGCCCCTGAGCCCTCGGCCCTTCCCCTGCTGTTCTCCCTCCCCCACAGCCTCAGCTCACTGCGCCGCCGGCACAACGCTCTGGGCGGCGGGGCTGTGAGCTCCTGGGGCAGTGCAGCTGCAGAGCCGCGGCCTGACCCAGTCTCTGTGCTGTGTGGTGACGTGACTGGCTCTGCCCGTCCTGGTGCTCTGGGTGGCGCGGCTGTAGCGCCGCCAGCCACCAGTGCTCCAGGCAGTGCAGTAAGGGGGCAGGGGAGTTTGGGGTGGTGGTCAGGGGGCGGGGGCGTGGATAGGGGTTGGGGCAGTCAGAGGGCGGGAAACATGGGGGCAGGGGTCCCGGGGAGGCAGTCAGGAAGGAGAGGAGGGGTTGGATGGGGCGGCGGGGGGCAGTCAGGGGCAGGGGTTCTGGGGGTGGTCAGAGAGAAGGGGTGATTGGATGGGGCAGAGGTCCTGGAGGGGCAGTCAGGAGTGAGAGGAGAGACTGGATGGGGCGGCAGGGGACAGTTGGGGCGGGAGGTCTGGAGGTAGTCAGGGGACTGGGGGGGGGGGTGGATGGGATAGGAGTCTCAGGGGGGCCGTCAGGGGGCAAGAAGCGGGGGGGGGGTCAGATAGGGGGCATTGGCCAGGCCATGCCTGACGGTTTGGGGCGGCACAGCCTCCCCTAACCAGTCCTCCATACAATTTTGGAAACCCGATATGGCCCTCAGGCCAAAAAGTTTGCCTGCCCCTGCTTTAGTGTACAAGCCAGCCTGCTCCCCTGGGGTCCTTGTTCAGGTAGCTAGCCCATGTCACAATGTTCACACTGCTATTTTGGGCATGCTGGAGCAGAGCTAGCATGTGTCTGTCTACCTTGACTAGGAGGCACATTCCCAGCTGCAGTATAGACATACCTTAGATACCCAGGTATAGATTGTTTCCCATATTGCTCATGAGAAAGAAGTAGCTTTAACTGAGTATCCAGTCTTTGCGACTGAAACCTCAACTCTTTACACAGTGGCTAAAGCCAAGAACGTGTGCATCCAATCATAGGTTTTGGGCCAACTTTCTGCAACCGAACAAAACTCCAGTTGACATAAATGAAAGTTTTGCTTGAATAAGGGCTACATAATTTAGCTCGGTGTTACCAAATTTAAAACATTGAAAAATAATACTCTTCTCAAAGAGCTTCCTGGCCCTTTGAAAAATGATAGTTTTGAATACTCACTGAGGAATTGAGAGTATGCCGTAGAAATCTAACAACTTTGGAATCAGAAGCTGGACATGCCAAAGCCATGTATCGATTACGGAATGTCCCATAGATTTTCAGATGAAATCCTGGCTTCAGAGATTCCTTACCCGTGGAAGATATATCCATTCCATAAGCAGAGAGATCAAAATATAGACTGTGAGCACGGATCTCTGGAGTTGGCACCTATAAAGTGCAAAAAAAGGGAAAAATAATTAAGGGCTAATCTAACTAATGTGTTCATTTCACAGATTCTACTTGATGACCCTCACATGGGATGCCTTGCAATGAATTAAATATTTAGAGAGTGAGGTTTTGTTTCCGGATAAGAAGAATTCAGAAAGTTACCCTGTGCATTTGCATTGCCATTTCATTTCCTTCCTGTGTTGTTCTAGATCAGGGGTCGGCAACCTCTGGCACGCGGCTCGCCAGGGTAAGCACCCAGGCAGGCTGGACCGGTTTGTTTACCTGCCACGTCCACAGGTTCGGCCGATTGCGGCTCCCACTGGCTGCGGTTCGCCGCTCCAGGCCAATGGGGGTGGCAGGAAGCGGCACGGGCAGAGAGATGTGCTGGCCGAGGCTTCCCACCGCCCCCATTGGCCTGGAGCAGTGAACCGCTGTCAGTGGGAGCCGTGATCGGCCGAACGTACGGACGCAGCAGGTAAACAAACCGGCCCAGCCCACCAGGGTGCTTACCCTGGTGAGCTGCGTGCCAGAGGTTGTCGACCCCTGTTCTAGATGATTTTTCTTCACGCTGAAGGCTGAGAAAATAACATTTCTGGGATACTAGTATATCGTGTTTTCAGCACAGTGAAATTGCACTAAGAACTCTAAAAGCAAACTGCCTTTTCCATAGGAACACCGCATGGTCCAGTGGACTGGGCACTGGTTCGGTCATGAGATCAAGGAACTTGATTCTACTCGTGATTCTGACATTGCCTTGTTGTGTGATCTTGTGCGGGCCATAAAACCCCTGTGCCTCACTTTCCCCATCTGTTAGTGAATAATGATACTTTATTCTTTTGTAAAATGCTTGGAAAGTTACACATAAGGGCAAAATATTCTTAAGAATAATTTTTCAATAAGGCTATGGGGGTGGTACTTTTGTGTTATTAGAAATTAACTGCCTCAGAAAAGGAAAAATCTCTCTGGACATCATATAAAATGCAGAGTTAATTGCAACATTTTAAATTAACTGAACATGTTTATAATTTATAAGGCAGACAGTTATTTGAAGCTGCCCAGGCACATTTGCTGTGTCAGAATTCTTAGGGGGAAAAAAAGAGACCATAAAATTCCAACATGACTTGTGGCAATCGTAAATTACAAACAGACATATCTTATACTATACATGTACAGGAAATTAATTTCACATTCAAAGACGAATCCATTGATCTGCAGGACCCAGATACATTACAATTTGTCCCACATAATAATGCAAAGAAAAAAAGTTCTGCTTGTGTTAAGACTACTGTAACTTGAGATTGTTCAAAAGAGCCAGTTTTGTCAAATAGCCAGTCTTTGGGTACGTCTATACTTACCTCCGGGTTCGGTGGTAAGCAACCGATCTTCTGGGATCGATTTATCGCGTCTTGTCTAGACGCGATAAATCGATCCTGGAAGTGCTCGCCGTCAACGCCGGTACTCCTGCTCCACGAGAGGAGCACGCAGAGTCGACGGGGGAGCCTGCCTGCCGCATGTGGACCCGTGGTAAGTACCTTGTAGTTTGAACTAAGGTACTTCGACTTCAGCTACGTTATTCACGTAGCTGAAGTTGCGTATCTTAGTTCGAACTGGGAGGTTAGTGTGGACCAGCCCTTTGTTCCATATATTTCAGCTTGCTACTACAGCACCAAGTTCTTCAGCCTTTACTCACAAGTGTAAAGTATTTGTTAAGGTGGGTAAGTAAAGTCTGATGTAGTCTGCTCCAGCTCACTGTGGCCAAACCATAGCATGGGCTAGTGAGAGGAGAACTGGGGACCAGAGCATGGCTTTCTTTCAGCTTCTTTGGAGCTATCCAACTGTGGAGCCTCCCTGTATGTTCCACCCTCTCCTGGGCACCCCTGTAAAGGTCTGCTCCACTCTAGCACTATAGAAACATTAGAGATAAATCCCTACGGAGACTCTTATTGCTTATTGCTAGTTTTAATATGGTTGTTTTCTACTCCTTTGGAAAATTATTTAAATACATCACTACTAAAGATGTATTTTCTTATCCTGTCTACTAGTTGCGGATGTTGGGCAAAATCGCTTCGTTATCTCTCATCATGACATTGCTCACGTTGCTAGGTATTTTTCTATATCTTTTCAGCCCTTGTCTTACACATGAATTATCACCATAACTCTCCCTTCCTCACCAAAAAGAAAGTTGGAAAAAGGCTTGAGGCCAAATCCTTCCCTCTAGTCTATGGTTCTCTACTATGTCTAGTCCTTGTGACAGGTGTGCAGAATAGGAAGTGCAGAGGACTCCAATGGACCACTCATGTTCTTAAATGAGTGTGTAAATGAATGCAGGTCTGGGCCAAACTCATTTCACAGGCCAGCAAGACAGATGTATCAAACAATAATGGCTTCCAGTCACTACCAATTGTATCGGAGAGCAATCTGTTACCTAAAGATTAAATTAGGGCTGTTGATTAATCGCAGTTAGCTCACAAGATTAACTCAAAAAATGTATCATGAATAAAAAAATTAATCGCAATTCATCACACTGTTCAACAATAAAGTACCAATTGAAATTTACTAAATATTTTTGGATGTTTTTCTACATTTTCAAATAAATCTATTTCAATTATAAACACAGAATACGAAGTGTACTGTGCTCACTTTATATTATTTTTATTACAAATATTTGCACTCTAAAAATGATAAACAAAAGAAATAGTATTTTTTCAATTCACCTCATGTAAGTACTGTCGTGCAATCTTTTTATTATGAAAGTGCAATTTACAAATGTAGGGGGTTTTGTTACATAACTGCACTCAAAAACAAAACAATGTAAAATTTCAGAGCCTACAAGTCCGCTCAGTCCTACTTCTTGTTCAGCCAATCGCTAAGGTAAACAAACTTGTTTACATTTACGGGAGATAATGCTGCCCTCTTCTTATTTACAATGTCACCAGAAAGTGAGAACAGGCATTTGCATGGCACTTTTGTAGCCAACTGTGACGGGTTGGATCACAGAAACACCCTTGAGGCTGCCAACTGATGTGCCAAGACTACTTCTGCCCCTGCTTTCCTGCCCTGGCAACTTAGGACTTCAGTGCCCTGCCTGGTGTGAGCCAGACCTACTAGCCTACTGCAATCCCAGACCCAGGGTCTGAACCACGTCCCCTAACATCTGTAGGCTTAACTGAAAGCAACTTACAGAAGTGTTCCTGTCTTTAACACGCAGATGTCCAACTCCCAATGGGGTCCAAACCCCAAATAAATCCATTCATAAATTGTTCGCCGTCTATAACACTGATAGAGAGATATGCACAGCTGTTTGTCCCCCCCCCAGGTATTAATACATACTCTGGGTTAATTAGTAAGTAACAAGTGATTTTATTAAATACAGAAAGTAGGATTTAAGTGATTCCAAGTAGTAACAGACAGAACAAAGTGAATTACCAAGTGAAATAAAATAAAACATGCAAATCTAAGCTTAATACAGTAATACAACTGAGTACAGATAAAATCTCACCCTGAGAGATGTTTTAATAAGTCTCTTTCACGGACTGGACGCCTTCCTAGTCTGGGCACAGTCCTTTCCCCTGGTACAGCCCTTGTTCCAGCTCAGGTGGTAGCCAGTTGATTCCTCATGATGGCTTCCCCTTTGTTCTGTTCCACCTATTTATATACATTTTGCATAAGGTGGGAATCCTTTGTCCCTCTCTGGGTTCCCACCCCCTCCTTCTTAATGGAAAAGCACCAGGTTAAAGATGGATTCTAGTTCAGGTGACATGATCACATGTCACTGTAAGACTTCATTACCCACTTGCCAGCACACATATATATAGGGAGACTTACAAGTAAAACAGAACCATCTGCAGACAATTGTCCTGGTTATGGGAGTCATCAAGATTCCAAACCACCATTAATGGCTCACACTTTGCATAATTACAACAGGCCCTCAGAGTTATATTTCATATTTCTAGTTTCAGATATAAGAGTGGTACATTTATACAAATAGGATGACCACACTCAGTAGATTATAAGCTTTGTAATGATACCTTACAAGAGTCCTTTTGCATGAAGCATATTCCAGTTACATATATTTTCATAAAATCATATAGAGTGCAACATCACACCGACATTGCAAGGTATTTATGTGCCAGATATGCTAAACATTCATATGCCCCTTCATGCTTTGGCCACCATTCCAGAGGACATGCTTCCATGCTGTTGCCGCTCGTTAAATAAATAATGCATTAATTAAATTTGTGACTGAACTCCTTGGGGGATAATTGTATGTCCCCTGCTTTGTTTTACCCACATTCTGCCATATATTTCATGTTTTAGCAGTCTCGGATGATGACTTGGCACATGTTGTTCATTTTAAGAACACTTTCACAGCAGATTTGACAAAACACAAAGAAGGTAACAATGTGAGATTTCTAAAGATAGCTACAGCACTCGACCCAAGGTTTAAGAATCTGAAGTGCCTTCTAAATATCTGAGAGAGACAAGGTGTGGAACATGCTTTCAGAAGTCTTAAAAGAGCAACACTCCGGTGCAGAAATTACAGAACCCGAACCAACAAAAAAGACCTTCTGCTGGTGGCATCTGACTCAGATAATGAAAATGAAAATGCATCAGTCCACACTTCTTTGGATTGTTATCGAGCAGAAGCCATCAGCAGCATGGACGCATGTCCCCTGGAATGATGCATGAAGGGAGATATGAATCTTTAGCGCATCTGGCACATAAATATTTTGCGACACTGGCTACAACAGTGCCATGAAAACACCTGTTCTCACTTTCAGGTGATATTGTAAACAAGGAGCAGGCAGGATTATCTCCTGCAAATGTAAATAAACTTGTCTGAGCGATTGGCTGAGCAAGAAGTAGGACTGAGTGGACTTGCAGGCTCTAAAATTTTATATTGTTTTATTTTTGAATGCAGGTTTTATTTGTATATAATTCTACATTTGTAAGTTCATCTTCCATGATAAAGAGATTGCATATAGTCAGGGCCAGCTCCAGCTTTTTTGCTGCCCCAAGCAGCGAAGAGAAAAACAACAACAACAAAAAATAAAGCCGCAATCGGCGGCACTTCGACGGCTGCTCTACCGTGCCGCTTCATTCTTCGTCAGCAATTCGGCGGCTGGTCCTTCCCTCCGAGAGGGACTGAGGGACCCGCCGCCGAATTGCCACTGAAGCCCCGGACGTGCCGCCCCTTTCCATTGGCTGCCCCAAGCACCTGCTTCCTGCGCTGGTGCCGGCCCTGACTACAGTACTTGTATTAAGTGAATTGAAAAATACTATTTCTTTTGCTTTTTTACAATGCCAATATTTGTAAATCAAAAATAAATATAAAAAGTCAGCTCTGTACACTTTGTATTCTGTGTTGTAACTGATTTTTTATATATACATATCAATTTTTGGATGTTTTCTACATTTTCAAATTTATATATGTATATATAATTTGCAAATGTAAAAAGCATCCAAAAATATTTAAATAAATGGTACTCTGTTATTGTTTAACAGTGTGATTAATCAAGTTTAATTTTTTTAATCGTCTGACAGCCTGAATTAATTTTATTTTGACATATAATAACAAATATCACACTGGATTAAAGTCTTATAAAACAGATATTAGATTAAAGTCATGGTATATTTCCTGACATTGACTTTTCTGTTTCAGAATAGAATAGTAGGTGCTAAATACAAAAGAAGAAAAACAAATTGTATGCTCTTTGGGGCAGGATGTGTGAGGACCATCTCGCACTTTGCAGATGCCACCATAATGCGAACAAATAGGTCAACTCATAGAGTCCCTGCTTGGTTTCTTTTTTGGTACTAAAACATTCCAGAAGCACTGGGAGCAACCCAGAGACATTTTGGTAGCATGCTTAGCATGCTAGTTATTTCCGCACACATACAGTCTAATTTTCAGAGATGCTAAGCACTGCAAACTCTCTTCAAAGTAAATAGGCACTTGGCACATCTGAAAATCAGGCCCATACAATATTTGTGAAGTTATGGAAAAGTAACAAAAATTGCCTGTGAGGTTAAATTTCTTGTGATTTATGAGTGTGCTTGGAAGGCTTCAATTTTTGTTAGTTGGTAAACTAACACACAGAAACCGCTGAAAAAAATATTTGCATCGATAATAATTGAATTTTACAGATAGTCAGAGTAAAAATAATGCTTCTTGAGAACTTAGAGTTTGATTTAAGGATATTTACCATATATACTCGTTCATAAGCCGAATATTTTTGATTAAAAAGTGATGCACCAAAAAGCGGGGGTCAGCTTATAAATGGGTCTACACCAAAATTTGATGATTTTAAACTCTATGGAATCATTGAATTGAATATCTAATACACTGTTGTCTTGTTTACCTGGAGTGTCTGCAGGAATGGAGTCCCTCAGCTCCCTGTGACTACGGTTCGCTGTTCCCAGCCAATGGGAACTGCAGGAACGGCGAACTGCGGCCACAGGGAGCTGAGGGGCTCTATGCCTGCAGACACTCCAAGTAAACAAAATATCCCAACCCACCAGCGGCGTACCCTGATGGGCCAGGAGCCAAAGTTTTCCAACCCCTGAAATATAGGATCAGCTTATGAAAGGGTCATATAGTTTTTCCTATTTTTACCTATCCATTTTGGGGGGTCAGCTTATAAACAAATGGGCTAATGAACCAGTATATACGGTACTTTGTATAGTTCAACTTGTGATGACATCTCTCAAAACTGGGTGACTGGGCAACAAAATGGCAGATGAAATTTAATGTTGATAAATGCAAAGTGATGCACATTGGAAAGCACAATCCCAACTATACATATAAAATGATGGAGTCTAAATTAGCTGTTACCACTCTCAAGAAAGAGATCTTGGAGTCATTGTGGATAATTTTCTGAAAATATCCCCTCAATGTGCAGCGGCAGTCAAAAAAGCGAACAGAATGCTGGGAATAATTAAGAAAGGGATAGATAATAGGACAGAAAATATCATGTTGGCTCTGTATAAATCCATGGTATGCCCACATCTTAAATACTTTGTGCAGATGTGGTCGCCCCATCTCAAAAAAGATATACAGGTCTGTCGCATCTTACGCGCATTTAACATGCGCAATTTCAGCTTTACGCAGTCAGCAAAAACAAAACAAAACAAAAAAGGGAAAAATAACAATTTTAATACTGTACCTGTAGTGCGGGCGATTTCACCCGCCATTCAACTCAATGTAATTTTGACTATACGCGGTTTTCGCTTTACACGCTAACTGTGGAACGGAACCCCCGCGTAAGATGAGACTTGCCTGTACTGGAATTGGAAAAGGTTCAGAAAAGGGCAACAAAAATGATTAGGGGTATGGAACAGCTTCCTATAAGGAGAGATTAATAAGACTGGGACTTTTCAGCTTGGAAAAGAGACGGCTAAGGAGAGATATGATTGAGGTCCATAAAATCATGACTGGTGTAGAGAAAGTAGATAAGGAAGTGTTGTTTACTACTTCTCATAACACAAGAACTAGGGGTCACCAAATGAAATTAATAGGCAGCATGTTTAAAACAAGTAAAAGGAAGTATTTTTTCACATAGTGCACTGTCAACCTGTGGAACTCCTTGCCGGAGGATGTTGTGAAGGCCAAGACGATAACAGGATTCAAAAAAGAACTAAATAAATTCATGGAGGGTAGGTAGCCAGGATGGGCAGGAATGGTGTCCCTAGCCTCTGTTTGCCAGAAGCTGGGCATGAGCAACAGGGGATGGATTACTTGATGATTACCTGTTCTGTTTATTCCCTCTGGGGTACCTGGCACTGGCCACTGTCAGAAGACAGGATACTGGGCAAGATAGACCTTTGGTCTGACCCAGTAGGGCCATTCTTATGATGTTGACAATTTGTGTTTTTATAGTTATAAAGCTTTATTTTTTTTAACTCTCAATGTCTGTCATTAAATAATTATTGTCTCACTCCCCACATTATTTGACCCCCAACAGAATTTCCCAGAGCTGTGAAAATGTATATAGATAGAAATAAAAAAATGCTTAAAAACAAACATTGATATTTATTGCAATGATTAAAAAAATGAATTATGCCCAGCCTATTTATGAGCTCTCTTCTCAGAGTCTTTGTCCCTGGGTAATGAACAGCATCTCCTGAGCCTTGCATAAAGCTTGACATTTCCCTTGCTATTCATTCACGGCTTGTTTCTTTCCTTTCAAAGGATGACAGGATTAGGACAGCAATACCAATAAGCAATGCATGGAAAAGGCAACTGGCATAGTGTGCAATTCATCTATTCTTGTCATCTTCCCTTAATATTCTAGCAGCCAAACTATCCACTGCACATGGTAATCATTTCCTCTAATCAGTTGTTCCTTTATGTAATCTTGTTCAGCCCTACTTACTATATTTGCCAAGAAAGTTGAATACGAAGCTGTTGGGGTTGTCTATTTTTCTTAATATTGAGAACAAATTAATTTGAACTCAGGCAACTAAATAATAGGAAAAGCATGTCTGTTATGTAACATTCATAACCTTACGTAAGGTATTGATGAGGTAAGAAATGATTAATATATATGTTTTAAGAAATTGTTATTCAGTTGTTACAGGGCCCAACTGGTCAGTAAGTTGCTTATAACCATAAGATCTACCAATGTACTTAGAACTATCTACAACACATACATGTCCTCTGTAACATGTTTAGGACATCTATTAATAATTTATTCACCCTTTATAAAGCCTTTTAAAATGTACCCCAGAATATAAAGCATCACCTATTTAAGTCAGTGGGAAAAATACTTTTCCTTCACCTCCTAGAGTTTGCTTGCAATGTCACATGGCAGCATAAAAGCCCTTAAAACCCCACCTTATTTCTATAGTATAGAGCATCATACAGCAGACGGGAGTAAACAGCTGATAGCAACGAGTATTCTTCTCATTACCTGTCTCTGATCACGCCTCTCAATAGCTGCATTTGCTCCATAAGCATTACAGGATTCCACAATGTAATCTGGACTGATTCCAAGAACTGAGCTTGATTCTCCGCAGGATCCATCTGCTATCACAATTATTTGTGGCCACTCAGAGGCTAAACTCTTCCTTATAAAGTCATCTGAGAACTGAAAGAAAAGGAGAGTTGACCGTGAATGTTGTATGTTGACCTGTTACAGTAAAACACAGACTTTAGGACGTGGATCTCCTCTGAAAAGCAACAGTGTGAAAAAGCCCTACCTCATTCATAGAATCATAGAATATCAGGGTTGGAAGGGACCTCAGGAGGTCATTTAGTCCAACCCCCTGTTCAAAGCAGGACCAATCCCCAACTAAATCATCCCAGCCAGGGCTTTGTCAAGCCTGACCTTAAAAACCTCTAAGGAAGGAGATTCCACCACCGCCCTAGGTAACACATTCCAGTGCTTCACTACCCTCCTAGTGAAAAAGTTTTTCCTAATATCCAACCTAAACCTCCCCCACTGCAACTTGAGACCATTACTCCTTATTCTGTCATCTGGTACCACTGAGAACAGTCTAGATGCATCCTCTTTGGAACCCCCTTTCAGGTAGTTGAAAGCAGCTATCAAATCCCCCCTCATTCTTCTCTTCTGCAGACTAAATAATCCCAGTTCCCTCAGCCTCTCCTCATAAATCATGTGCTCCAGCCCCCTAATCATTTTTGTTGCCCTCCACTCTTGGACTCTTTCCAATTTTTCCATATCCTTCTTGTAGTGTGGGGTCCAAAACTGGACACAGTACTCCAGATGAGGCCTCACCAATGCCGAATAGAGGGGAATGATCACGTCCCTCGATCTGCTGGCAATGCTTCTACTTATACAGCCCAAAATGCCGTTGGCCTTCTTGGCAACAAGGGCACACTGTTGACTCATATCCAGTTTCTCATCCACTGTAACCCCTAGGTCCTTTTCTGCAGAATTGCTGTCTAGCCATTCGGTCCCTAGTCTGTTGCAGTGCATGGGATTCTTCTGTCCTAAGTGCAGGACTCTGCACTTGTCCTTATTGAACCTCATCAGTTTTCTTTTGGCCCAATCTTCTAATTTGTCTAGGTTCCTCTGTATCCTATCCCTACCCACCCACATATCTTCCACTCCTCCCAGTTTAGTGTCATCTACAAACTTGATGAGGGTGCAGTCCACGCCATCCTCCAGATAAGTGATGAAGATATTGAACAAAACCAGCCCAGGACTGACCCCTGGGGCACTCCACTTGAAACCGGCTGCCAACTAGACATGGAGCCGTTGATCACTACCTGTTGAGCCCGATGATCTAGCCAGCTTTCTATCCACCTTATGGTCCATACATCCAGCCCATACTTCTTTAACTTGCCGGCAAGAATACTGTGGGAGACCGTATCAAAAGCTTTGCTACATCCACTGTTTTCCCCTCATCCACAGAGCCAGTTATCTCATCATAGAAGGCAATTAGGTTAGTCAGGCATGACTTGCCCTTGGTGAATCCATGCTGACTGTTCTTGATCACTTTCCTCTCCTCTAATTGCTTCAGAATTGATTCCTTGAGGACCTGCTCCATGATTCAATTGATTGGTTTCACAGCTCCCTACCCTGAGCTGTTCTGGACATCGCTAGGCCAGTCCCAAGAACTTGGTCCAAGGACCTGGTCCAATTATTCCAATAGTATTACTCCAGATTTATACCTGGGTAAATGTCAGAAAAAAATTAGTCTTCATCTAGCCCAGCAGCACCCCTTACGTTATCAAAGATAAATGATCAGTGAGGCACAACACTGGCAGCAGACAGATACAGGTCTGGTATGTGGTGCTTTCTGCAACCATCAAATTTCCCAGATCTGGGCTTGTACTAAGGGAGTAGCCTATGCACATGGAGTTTTGGTTCCACTCTAGGGTCAGTGGTTTACCTCCAGCATCTAGTAAAGTGATTACTAAATGCTGGGAAGATCACCTGCAACAGATAAGTCAAAAAATGTAGACCAAACCTCATTCAGGTCTACTATTATAATGCAGCGGAAAAGCATATTACATTCCTTTAATTTGGCCCCAGAGATGTAACCAGAAAATAGTAACACTTCACATTTCTTGATAGACTTCCACCAGAGAATCTCAAAATTCTTCAGCAGAATTAATTAAATTTATAATCTCATAACACACTTGTGGTATAGCTAAGAGTTGTTGTCCTACTGTTTCTTCATCATATTACTGATGAAGAAACAGTCAGCGAGAGATTAGAAGCCAGAACCTGATCTCATTTACATCATGTAAATCCAGAATAATTCCAATGAGAACCTTGTGCAGGATTATTACAAATAAAAGGAAGTTCTTCACACAGCACACAGTCAACTTGTGGAACTCCTTGCCTGAGGAGGTTGTGAAGGCCAAGACTATAAAAGGGTTTAAAAGAGAACTGGATAAATTCATGGAGGTTAAGTCCATTAATGGCTATTAGCCAGGATGGGTGAGGAATGATGTCCCTAGCCTCTGTTGGTCAGAGGGTGGTGATGGACGGCAGGAGAGAGATCACTTGATCATTACCTGTTAGGTTCACTCCCTCTGGGGCACCTGGCATTGGCCACTGTCGGTAGACAGGATACTGGGCTGGATGGACCTTTGGTCTGACCCAGTAAGGCCATTCTTACGAGTGTGAACTGACGTCTAAACAGAGTGTTCATGTTATTAACTATGCATGGCAGATTAAACGGAATGTAGGAAGTATTGTGGCCTAAGGGGTTTTTAGAGTTGCCCTTCAAACAAATTTTGTAATGCTCAAACACAGCTACAACAGTTGTTCCCAAACAATATTCTCAAACATATATTGTAAATGGCAAAGTACACTCTAAATGGTAGAATTAATGTGTCTGATGTTTTTGCAAGTATTTCTGAGCACTCACAGCTCTAGTTCACCTGAAATTGCTAAGCATTTCTGTATTGATAGATATTTCATATATGAACAAGCTTTGATATAAGGTAGCTGTGGCAATAGCATTAACAGTTGCACTTATCAATTGAAACTGTTCTTATTTGAAACTCTCAGCTTGTGCTTTAAAGAGATTAATAAAGGGAAAAAATTTTTTTTAGAATGTTGTGAAATGAAAAACAAAAAAACCCTACTCATTCTAGTGAACACCTATCTGTATAAGTAGTCTATTCTCTGTAGGTTCCTATACTGCAGTCATCACCCTCCAGTAGCACATTAAGCAACATTAATAGGCAGCAGATTTAAAACAAACAAAAGGAAGTATTTTTTCCACACAACGCACAGTCAACCTGTGGAACTCTGCCAGAGGATGTTGTGAAGGCCAAGACTATAAACAGGGTTCAAAATAAAACCAGATAAGTTCATGGAGGATAGGTCCATCAATGGCAATTAACCAGGATGGGCAGAGATGGTGTCCTGAGTCTCTGTTTGCCAGAAGCTGGGAATGGGCAACAGAGAATGGATCACCTATTCTGTTCATTCCCTCTGGGGCACCTGGCATTGGCCACTGTTGGAAGACGGCATACTGGTCTAGATGGATCTTTGGTCTGATCCAGTATGGCCGTTCTTATGAATAACATATATCATGTGTTTGTCCTCTTATCCTCTCCTTAGGGGCAGAGGCATGTGCAGTGATGTATCTTGTTTTGGTAGGATTTTTAGGGACTTTTTAATTTTGTTTAGATTCCCTCCCACCTCCCCCTGTTTTGTATTATGGCTTGTGTAAAGCTTATGACAATGGGCACTATTTTATAATTATCGTATATTTCATGTTAGAGTTTCCAGAACAATAAACCCACCTACATCTAGTTTGCTGAAACACTCATATGGTTTGGTTTTGCTTTTTATTGGTTGAGGGTGCAAACAAACTTAACTGGAAATGCCAGTTTGGCTTGAACTGTTGCTTAATTATATGGTACTGTTACTTGCTTTCACTAGTTAGATCTGCTATATCTCTAATGTATACATAATTCCAAATCAGATAAGATGAAAGTAGCAAAAGAATCTTTGTTTGCTTGACTGTTCTTGGTTATTAATCCAGTGGTCTTATCTTTGCGTTTGCCATATTTGACCTTTTGTTCACCATAAAGCTCACATTTAAAATGATCTATTTATATTAACTATGAAAGTGGTCAAATAAAACCAACAACTCTAGAGCAACAGAGCCAGTCACCCATGAATAAACATCTCAGAAGATCGTAAAATTTGAGCCTGCATCTTTGGTTTTTATGAGTTGGAGACATTTATTGCCTAGCACTACTACTGCTACTAGGGTGTTATTGCTTATATAACCTTAAATTTTCCCATTAACTTTGATTTGCTCGGAATTATGAGGCAACATTTTACTCTCAATTTCTACCTTTGTTGCACTATGCATGATTAAGGATACGATTTAGTCACGGAGGTCACAGGTTTCGTGACTTTAACAAACCTCCTTGACTTCTTCAGCTTTAGACCCCACCACAATGGCTGTGGTGGGGGCTGGTGCCCCTTCCCCTCCCGAGAGGCTCGGTCTTCCATCTCCTTGGCAGTCAGCCCTTCCTCCTCCCCACTGTTATTTTTAGTAAAAGTCACGGACAGGTTGCGGGCTTCTGCGAATTTTTGTTTATTGCCCACAACCTGTCCGTGACTTTTACTAAAACTAACTGTGACAAAATCTTAACCTCATGCATGATACATATAAATTTGCATCAGGGCTGGAAGTTTGCTTTTTTCCCTTCCACTTCTCTACCACCCTAATAAAGATAAAACGTTCTAAACATATTATTAGAAACAACAGTATTATGGAAGTGCCTAGAGGCCCCATTGTGCTAGCCACTATACAAACACAGCAAGAGACTCAGAGAGGGAAAGTGACTTGCCCCAAATCACATAACAAGTCACTGGCAAAGCCAAGAATAGACTACAAGTGTGTTGGATCCCACTTCAGTGCTGTAGTCACTGGCCATGTTGCCTGTCCAAAAAACTAATAGTATAAAATGAGCAAGAGTGCAAGATCAATCTAAATACATGCCGGAATATTTCAGACTATACAATTTCTTAGCTATAATTTTGTCTATGTGCTGAATTTTATCATGAAGAAATTTTACAGCAATAGGAATTAGCTGCCAAAACCAACTGAGCACGTGTAATACATCATCCTCTCAACCCAGGTG